TTACTATAATCATAGAATAAAGAAAAGAATTAAAGGATGCACCAATTCTACTGTATTGAGAGAATCTCTGAACTTGTGCCTTGTTTGGTAAATTTGACAGATCTTGCCAACGCGACGCGACGCCGACGAGAGTAGATCACCTTTGGTGGGAGGCCTTGGCCGGGTTGTAGCGATCATCGGCTTGTAAATGACTTATCAAAGGATAACTAGCTGGCAACACTGGTTCGTGCGTTTAGATCTATGTAAAGTGTACAAAGTACCTTATGGATGGATTTACTCAAATACGGATTATCAGATTTAATTTGCAATCGCAACCGTGTTTAGGCATTATAACTTTACACTTTGTACTGTCGTGTAAATAGTAATTTGTACGGCAGTTTGCACTCGTGTTACACATTATATTTTTCCTAAATTACTATTAATCATATAAATATTTAGTCTTTCAAACACTGTACAACACGTTTTTAGATTAGGTGCAATCCAAACATTGGACGAAATGGGAAACGCAGCAACAGCTGATTGTAGTCGTAATATTTTTAAGTGTTGCCAAATTATGTTCAAGCGTACACGGATTACGTGCGTAATAAAAGCACGCTTTTTGTGTTGTTTGGTTGGAATAATGGTGTGTGCCAAAGTAAGGCTTTCTGCTCTCTGTGCAAGGAAGCCCACTTTGTCGGACTGTAGGAAAAAATATTTAATATAACTTTTTAGATTACATGGGAATTTATAAAAGTTCTATAACTTCGGGAAACAAAAGTTTCGACTTCTATTTGCATAGAGTTACATGTAACACTAAAGTCTCGTAAGTAATAGCTTAACAGTTAAAAAATATTATGATCCACAAAGAAAAATATTATACTGTATTTAATCATATAACGAGTAAATGTATTGTTAAATCCGATCACAAGCGCAAAAAAGTGTTTTGCACACCTAAAATGCTGAAAGGGGCTAAAAGGGTCCATGTTACCCTGCAAATATTTAGTATGCTGGGGATTTGGACCCAAACGTTAATTAATTGGTGATACGTCCCTCGCTCAGTCCACTCGCTGAGAGCGTATTTTCGCTCACGTTGGGCACATGTTGTTTGAACACCAGAGGGGTCGACTTCTTGGGCCCTTTGCGTCTGCCGGCCCCGCGTCCAGGCCCACACGCGTCCGCGGACACCGTCATCAGAAGGATCAGGAGCAAGGATCGAACCATCGCATCGTACCACACTCCACTGTACACCCCCGTCGCCGTCACCGTCCGTCAGTACGGCTGTCGTGGTGTCTACTGTCTAACGTGGTGTCTACTGTCTAATGTGGCAAGTGCGGCTGAGGCAGCGGTTATATTAATATCCTGTCAATTAATTGATAAGAAAACACGTTTGTCATTTACAAACAAAGAATAAAAGAAAGCCAAATGATTTATCTATTCACACACAGATTAAGTTTAGTAGACGATATTTATGAAACGACCCTAGGATGGTTTAGTTTTGCGTTGGTAATGCTGGTTCCGAGAGGTGGGATCAGCTTCCGCCGCTGATTCAGCGGTTCCGTTTCCGCTGAGGTAACATCGCGAGATCAGCGTCAGTTTGCTGAGAATAAACTTGTGTGGAACTGAGGCAGCAGGATCCTCGTGTATATGAAGGGGGTTGTGTTGGCAGATTGTAAATTGACATGAAATTGTAGAATGCACATCTGTATATTAAATACTATATTTTTGATGATAAATTGTTAATGAAGTGAAGGACATGTAAACAACACAGAGAAACTACTGTGAATCGCTTCTTAACCACAGGACCTACTCCTTTAATCTATGGTATAACATATCTGCAGTGTTAAAGGTTGTGCTCGAATTCTTTGGGATTTGTATGTTTTTAAACATTGACAGTTATCAAGTAGAAGCATTATTCATCAGTGTGGGCGTTTCCCTATCTAATGATAATGTTGCCGAACTGCGCTGGATTCTCCGGTTAGTCACACTCTAGTTTGTAGTTGTGTTAAGAATACGACCAGTAAACACACGTCCATTTGCCAAATACTTTCAACAATGGAATTAAGGAGTAGGATCTATTTGCAAAGTTTATTTCAATGCAGCCCTATTATCAGCATCTATTTCAAGCTTGAGTGGTTTTCTGTGACTCAACCCAACGTAAAAAAGAGAGAGTAAACTTGTAGTTTCTCCCAGCGTGATTGTGGGTTTTTTTCTATAGTAACGCGTGATGGAAAGTAATTTATTGTAACAAACACACTATATTCAACATTGTACCATCACCAGCACTTTCTATACATTGCAGAAGTAGACGTCCAATCTGAGTGTAAATTCTGAAGTTTAGATGTGTTTGATGTCCGACTACGCTTGAACAACGACGAAATGTTTATATCCTCTTCAAGGATAAATTTGTAGCGCTTTTTAGCGATAAAAACGCGTAAACCTACGTTTATTCAAAAGGGTTCACGAACCATCATGATTGGACTAGGGGAACGGGGACAACGGGGTTACATCGGAAAGGGGGAGGGATGGTTATGGGGTAGAAATAGATAAACATAGATTTCCTCTCTAAACCATTTTGTAGAGCTCCCAAAACAAATAATCTATTATTTTGAAGTGTTTTGTAGTTTATGGTTAAAGAGAAAATAAAAATATATTTAAAATTCACATTTCTTTGTGGGTAATAACTTTTTTAGTTTGCTTGTTTATGGATATATTTTGATCAGAATTAGAAAATTCATTCTTTTAAAACTAGGCCTTCAGTATTAACATTAAAAAAACACTTTTAATCCTTCCTTGTACAGCAAACCTAAGTATAGTAGGCTACTCGTTAAACCTAATGTTATTTAAATGGTAAATAACTATGGCATTTTAAAGGAAATATATTTAGTACGGTAAAACTCAAAAAAGGCTGATAGAGTTCGCTAAGTATGCAGGTTTGCTGCGGATGGTGATCACATCAGGATTAGACAACACGACAACACTTGCAAAAGTCGTTCTTTTTGGCCATACGATAATAATCAACTATTGAATGTTTTTACATGTTTTATCTAGGGATCTCTTCTGACCGAACTGGTGCCGCTAGTAAGTCGCTACTGTATCGGATGACGTAACTGTAGGTTCATTCACACGTCGCCACGGCCGCCGCACAACAAGCGGTTCGTGATGAATCTTGATGCGTCTTCACCACACTTCCGCGAGCGTTCTCATCAAATGACTTTGTAAAGATTCCCGGATGCGTTCCGGTTAACAGTTTACCATCACAATACACGTACGTGTTCATAGGAAGCCTCATCAATTGCAGATCACGACATAAGTGATACATTCTTGTGTGGTCGTGCATTAATTGCGCCAAGCCCTTAGAGATTACCGAAAAATGTTCCTTAGTTTTGCCAATCCCAAGCCAGGTAGGGGTGAGTTGCCCGCAGAAGGAATGCCCTTGTTTACGTGCCATCCTAACCTAACCTAACCTAACCTTACCTAACCCTAACCAAACCTAACCTAACCTAACCTACTCAATTATAGTGAGAGAGGGCCGCCACTTGGCGCAGTTAATGAACGTATCGGGTGGCTCCATGGAGTACAGTTCTCGCAGCTAGTCTGGGCGCGCGGACCCTTGTGTACTAACCGTCCCCCACGCCAAAGCCATGAAGACAGCAGTGAGGCGCTGAACAACCCCAGTGTGCCGTGTGGGCCGAATGTTTTTGGAAACGAGCAATAAACACTCCCCTCTACACCCCCTGCCCTAGCGCGGCCGCGCGCCCAGACTAGCTGCGAGAACTGTACTTGGCGCAACTCAGGAATACCCAACTACTTGACTCACGTCAGCTGGCGCAATTAATGCCCGCCCGATACAACAACGAATCTTGTTAGATTAGCTGTGAATTTTACCTTGCAGCCGACAAAAGAGACAAAGGAACGACTGCCATACTGATTGAAGTTATTTTTGGTATTGTTAGAATATACGCATTTACCATTTAACAGTTTTGATTAAACCATTGTTTAACAACTGTTTGAAAACAACTGAATCTGATTCCTTTTTTCATGTGTTCAATGTAATGGAAATAGAGACAACTAATTTAGTGTGAAACATTTTCTCCGAAGTTAGTAATAATTGTTATGTCTATTGTTGCGGAACAGGTTTGTGTTGACATGTTTTATGGTCTATTGTTGTTCGAAAGCGTTGATAGCTTATTTCGCTCTTATTCAAATGGACACAATTGAAAATGTGTAGAATTTTAGTTTTCTCTTAGCCTATCGAAGTTAATTCGTATTATAAGAATGAATAAAGGAATGGAAAAAATGTTTAGAGAAGTGTATGCGATGGCATAATATTGAAGGAAATAAAGCTAAGTATTTTAATTATTTAATTTTTCTACTTGACACTCGTAACACAATATTCTACACAACAATTGTTTACAAATAAAAGAAATTACACAGAATATGCACATGATGGTTACGTATAACAATAACACGATAACAACTGGACTGAAAACACAACAAACACGAACTGCGCTCATTGACACTACTTTGTTGATGACTGAGTTACTTATTCATGTCTCGTCCAACACAACTGACGACACTGGCAATAAGCAAGGATTATCAGCTTAGGTTTACTCGACTCACTAAGCCGTATTTAGTAGTTTTTGTCGATAAATTTGATCAGAGGAAAACATATTTACAACTAGGTGAACAGTGTTGATGAACATATTTCACTCAGCAGAAGTGTTCAGATGTAATGTTCAACATGAAAAAGTCAATATAGCTATTTTTTAATTAACTTATTTTTTATCAGCAATAATTGAATTTTGCAATATTTTGGAAAAATATAAATGTTCCGCAATTATAAAAGAAAGTACAAGCTTATTGTATTATAAATAACATATTTTCACTTAAAATTAATTTCCTATTGATTTTGCGTATCTTGAATGATCTTTTCTTAAATTTCGGAGTTTGTACCGGCTCTATGTAAGTTAAGAAGTGTATTTAATTCCCCATAATTTAAATCTACATATTTTATTTCAAAGACTGACAAAGAGGAAAAAGAAAAGGTAAGAGTTTATTATACCCTCCCCAGCCTGGATTGATGGCATGTATAAAACCAATGCTCGAGTATGTTGTTCGTATTTATAGCATTATTATCTGCCTACAAATGATGTATGTAGCCTACTGTATCTACGTATTACTTATTTGTAAATTTCATTTCATGTAATCATTTGTTTGTTCCCTTTTTCTGGTTTATACCTATTTGTAGTAGGGGTTGTTTTATAACGTTTGTGATTTGCTCAATACAATAGATACGGTTGTAATGTACAAAGAATCGAAAGAGTATACCTTGTTTTATACTCTTCTCCATTTTTAGTTTAGTTGCCTGTTGGAAATGCTATGCATGGCTAGATACCTGCAATTTTTGGTAAATATGGTAATTTTTATCTTCTATTGTAAAATTAAAGTTTTGCCGATCTTATAAAACTCTTAGGGCTGCCGTGAATAGTTATTGTATAATTTGCCATGTATTCTGTTAATTTTTGATCAACCTACATCAAACTTCTCAAGTACTATAAGATACTTGTCTACAAAAAGTACGTAATGTACATTAAGTTTCAAGTGTCATCAGTCCCAGACTTGGCCTACCTCAAGGTAGTGTACTTGTTCCTGTTTTCTTTCTCCCACTGACTCATTATGAGCAATACCATGACTCAGACTCAGGGCGATGCTTATCTCTAGGAGAATGTTCAGTCCATGATCCAGTGGATATTTTCAGACTGCTTTGTTTATGCATTTGATTGACTGTAACACTAATGCTCTTTCCAGTATTTTATTGTATCTATAGTGTAATCGTTTCTTACTCATAATAGGCATATACTGAATAAAATAGTATTGCCGTTATATAATTTGATTCAAATATTGTCTGGTTCAATTGGTACAAATAAATATGGCATGGTGTAATTAAGACCCAACTCAGGAAAAAAAACTTTCAAATAACTATCAACTGTATCAAACTCTCAGGGAAATTCCTAACAGTGTAATTAAAGATCAACAATATGCCAATAGTTGTGCAAGACATAATAGTTTCACATAAAAGTTATGGTGCTGCAGGGAAAGCCATGGGAAGTAGGGCAGTGTGATAATGTTATCATGTGATATGCATTGTCAATACAACACCTTCCGCCAACACCCTGGTCTGCTAAGGGAACAATTAAACATCAGCATAGCCAATCGGTGTTAAAGTTTTTGATTTGTTTCAAGAGGAGTTTTCAAATATTTTGGCTGTCATTGTGCTTGTTACAACTTTGATCTATTTTACTACTTCTGTATTTACAACCTAGAAATTGCAATTGAAAAAAGTGAGAAGAAACCCTTTTGTGTTTATGTTTAGATGATTATAATTACCTAATGCTGTAAAACACATTTATAAGTTCTGGCCACGCACTTTATAATCATTCTTATTGTTTTGTAACCCGGTTTGTATACAAAACACACCACTTGACTGAAGAAAGGCTCCTCTAGGTGAACTTGCAACTGTTATATTGGATATAATGTTGTGTATGTGAACTTATTTTGATAGTGCCTGTTGGTGACAAACTTTGAGAAACAAAACTTCTTTCTCAAACCCAAGTGAAGATTTATAAAGTGTTTGCCAACACACAAATCTAGGTCCGTAAATACCTTTAAATAACACTTGTATTTAATCCATTGGGCTTAGAGTGGTGTTAGCAAATTTCCCATGTAGGGAATAAGCTATTACTATTACTGTAGGTCTCATGGTAAGACCAAGACCCGGGACCGCTTTACTTTTTCGTTTAAAGGTTCACAGAGGCCAAAAACACCCTCTGTTCAAATTCATATATATATGTGTCCGTTAAAGCGATAACTCAAGCAAAAATTATCCGATTTTGATTAAATTTGGTACAAACGTGTAAACCTACGTTTATTCGAAGGAGTTCTCAAACCAGCATAATCGGACCATGAGAACGGGGGTTTATGGGGAAAAATTGGGTTTTCCCATTTTTGGCTCTAAAAACAAAAAATTTTGGAATTTCTTTCCCAACCATTTTGTAGAACTTAAAAAAGAAATAATTTTGTATATTGAAGCGTTGTTGTATGCGTAATGTTTACGGAGATAATTCAAAAAATTGTAAAGTTACAATTCCCATTATCTTTATGGATAAAAATAAACTGTTTTAATTTGCTTTTTTATGTTTAGATTTTAATCAAATTTGGCAATTTTGATAATTTCATACTAAGCTATCAATATTTTAATGAAACCAAATACCTCAATACCTTTCCTGTTGCATCAATACTAAGTACTTACTAAAATTAATGTTTTTAAATAGTAAATAAATCTGACATTTTTTTAGGGAATATTTTAGTAGAATGAAATCCAACTAGTTAAATGTAAATTCGCTTAGTCTGCAGGTTTGCTGTGGCAGGATATTTCTTTTAAAGTGTAAGGACTGTAGTAAACTTATAAGGAAGTCTAGATGTTTCATCCACACTAGATTGTTTATCCTCGTGTTTCCAGTTACTGGAGTCTTGCAGTAGTTTTCCACAAGCTCTGCAATGCAGTTCATTATCAATGGATCAAGTTGACCTTGAATTAAACTGTTTGTCTAATCTCTGCCAATAGAACTTGTGCATCAGAATTCAGTGTCATCATGGGTCATGGGCGACTCTTGATGCTTTTTGTGTAGTTTGGTTTTGTTCGATGTTAAAATTCCAAGTCTGAGAAGTGTAAATTCCGAATCAGTAAATAGTGAAATTTCAGTATTGGTTTGAATCACTTGGTGAGATTCAAGCCCAAGATAAATATAAATTAAAATATTTTATCTGTTGATGTTTTGAGAGTTGGCTTGAAACGTACATAATATGAAATATTTACTTTTTCATGAATTCACACTATAATTTCACAGTTTTTGTCTCATTTATTTCTAATCACCTTCTGAAATATTTTTGGCAAGTTTGTTTGAAAAAAGAAACAAAATCTCTAATTTCTTCATTAAAGCAATGTATGCTAAAATTTGAGTTTGTGGTCACTACAAAGACTAATAATTCTGCCGCCACAGCAAACCTGCAGACTAAGCGAATTTCCATTTGCATGAATTGATTGTAAATTAAATCTATTTAAATAACATTAGGTTTAACAAGTACCTAGGATTGCTGCTACAGGGAGGCTAATAAAGTGTAGTTTTTATTCAAATATTAGTAGTTTACTATAAAGTAAATACATTTGCCAAATTAGATCAAAATATTTCCATAAACAAGCAAACTACAACATTTTACAATATTCTCCATAAGAATTATAACATGGGAGTTTTAAATTAGCAATTTTTTGAATTTTCTCCGTAGCCAATAACTGTACAAAAACACTTTGGGATACTAAATTATTTGTCTTTTTTGCTCACACAAATCATTGTCACTACTTTAAAAAATATCTTCAAGGCACTGACTCTCAGATGATTCGTCTAGAAAATTATTACCAAACATCCCAGCTTAGAGTGACAAACAATATTTTTTCAGTCCACTGTCAGTTCTTATCTGAGAGCCAAAGTGGGTGTTTTGATTCATTACTGATCTTTTGTCATCTGCCAAACTCAATCAACCATTGACACTTTGTTTGGTTTTCTCTTGGTTTTTTCTCTCGCCTCCTGTGGCCATCAATTATTCCATTATAATGACTTCTATTATCCTCTGCATATTTTGTCACATATGATCATTTATCATCTTGCATGGTTCTTGTGTCATTGTTTTGGAGTAATAGTAGTAATATGCCTACAGAACATTGAAAACATTCCATATTTGTTTTTGGGATAATTTTTGTTTGCCATGTCCATTACGTAATAAACTGTTCTTTCAAAAAGCATCCTTGAAGTATGAAACCTATTCCATTTTACTGATCTGATTGTACTATTCTGTATTGATTAAGTTATACATTTTTTTTAGTTTTAAAAGTTGTAGAGTTTTCAAGTATGCGTCTACTGACGATGATTAAACTGTTGGCTAGTGGACCTAGTGTAATGCAATGTAATTCAAGCTTGTTTATTTAAATTTGAAATTGCATGTATCAGTAAAAAAAAATATTTTTAGTAATTGCTTGACAACAAATAAATATTTAGGGTAAAGATTTTTATAAAACACAGTTTGGCTGAACGTTAAATAACTTATATTCAGCAGTTGATGGGTATTTTTTGCTATCTTTTACTCTTACTGATTTCCCTCATAAACTTTATCATTAGGCCCATTGTTTGAATCAATCCCTGATATATAGCAAGATAACTTCGATCATCATCATTTGAGTAATAAAAAAAATTGTTGTTTCTGTTTCTATTTACAGTTTGGTTCACACTAACACAATCAAAGGTCATATTCAGCAGTTGTTATATCTAAGATCAGTGCTAGTCCTATAATGAAGACTATTGTTACAGGAGTTCCGAGACAGCACACACAGCGTACACCAGACGGGGCTGTCGTTCACCAACCCCACCTGTGGTCTAGTCCCCGCCTCGTCCAGTGAGCTTTCTATCTTCCCTCCGCCGGGTGCCACCCCCGTCACCTTCGAGCCGCTTCCGTCCCTCGCCTCGCTGAGTCCCCGCAGACGACCCCCGGGACACCACTGTCAGGCTGGGGACCTGGACGAGTGGTTCTGTAAGTAGCACAGAGATGGAAAACTGAACAAAACTTTCAACCAAACAGTTTCAACTTAAATTCACCCAGCTCCAAACCGTTCACAATTGACTAAACTGAAAAAAGATTAATATTTTTTGGTGAAAAAGTGAATTCCCTTTGACAGTATAGGTTTACTAAGACCCAAAAATACCCTTAGCCGTAGTTAGTTAAATGAATGAATTTCTTGTTCAATCAGTAACATATGATTTCAGCCCTATCCTATGTACTGTAAAAACATACGAATGTAAGCAATTGATTTTGCAAGTGTAATTACTATGAGGGTTGGGTAATTGCTGTTGCGAATCACAGCCTAGCTATCTGTTATTGGTGAACAAATATTGTAAATTTATTAGATGCCAGTTAACATGAAGCGATAAGAGAAACCTTACCTGATAGAGATATGCAAGTTTTGTGGGACTCTTAGATGCTTACTCTCAATAGAAATTGAGACAATCATCAATTTTGTTTACAGTAAGCCTTAACAAGTAGTTTTAATGAAATTGGAAACGGTGAAATCGTTTTTAATGTTATTTAGGTAAGATATTTGTTAATCAGAGGATTTTGGAATTTGCAATTTTTCTCATAAAATGTTGAAAATATTCCAATCAACAAAAGTTGATCAATTCAACCACTTTAGGACATATTTTCAACCGTGTTCATTGTGTTAATTGATAGAGATCAATACAGTATGTAGTTTATTTATACGGATAAGACTGGTAATGGAAAATTACTTTCTTAGATGTTTTATTATTTTGTAATTCATTAACTGACTCACTTCATCCTGTAAACGTTTTTGTGCTAAACAAGTTGCCCTTTGAGAAAAACGTCATATTTACATTCACAAGAATTCCACCAGTAAAATTCATGAAGGATTTAATTTAATTTTGCTACTTAAGAGTTTTATTATAAACTAAACTTAAGAATGTCCTCAACTGAAAGTAATGGTTGGTTTAACGATTGGAAGATCAAGACACATTGGCAGAGGTCCAGTCTACCTGGCCTTGTCTGACTCAAGTGTGGCAGGTTTATCGTAACATGTCCAATCTTTTGACCGAGACTTTATATTTTAGTATTTGAAAACAACAGTGAGGAAATTTACAATACCCCCGCCGCAGCAAACCTGCAGACTTAGTGAATTTCCATTTTCCTGATTGGATTTAAACTAAAATGTCTCCTTAAAAATATCACATTTATTCCCTATTTAAACAGAATTAGTTTAATGAGTACTTAGGTTTGCTGCAACAGGGAGGGTAAAAAAGTTTTTTTTTGTAGAATATTAAAAGGAACTGTGGTTTAGTAAGAAATTAATGTATTTTCCAACTGTTATCAAAATATGTTCATAAACAGGCAAACTACAATAGTTGACTTATTCTCCATAAGAATAACATGGGAATTTTAAAATCACAATTTTTTTTAATTTTCTCCGTAACAATTAGGCGCATAATAATGCTTCAATATACTAAATTATTTGTTTTTTTAAGCTATACATAATGGTTTAAAAAGAAATTGTGAAATTTTGTGTTTTAGGGTCAAAAATGGGAAAAACCTAATTTTACCCCATAAAACCCCCCATAAACCCCCGTTCCCATAGTCCGATCATGCTGGTTCGCGAACTCATTCAAGTTTATCCCGCCTTACACCTTCAAACCAAATTTTATCAAAATCGGACAAAGATTACTCAAGTTATCGTGCGGATGGACATATATATAGATATACAGGGTGATTTGTACTCAGTGTGACAAAATTTTTTTGATGTAAGTACAAAGTAAATGAAGTGTGATGATGCATATCAAATGTTCCAAGGCTCAAAATTAGCGTTCCAAAAAATTATTTTATGTTTTTCAAAAATAACCATGCTTTTAAACTTAATACAGCGATTTCTCAATTACTTGTATATGGATTTGAGTAGATAATGTCATTTTCGTGTTCTACATAAAATTTTGAACAAGAATAATGGAAAATGACGGAGGATCAGTTGTAAAAACTCCATTGTAATTAGATTCAAAGATAAAAATTAATATATTTGATAAAAATTTTAAAAACAATGGTCCATTGTATTTTTCACACCCTGTATACAAGAAAGTGTCGGAATATGTTAAAAACTGCGCCATTTTATAAGCTTTCCAACCATATGCTACACTATTGAGGTTTAGATATTTTTTTGTTTGTTTTAGTGGTTTGAATACCAGAAAACAGGGAACTTTTTTACTGTTTTTACTGTTCAAGCTGAAACAAAAATACAACTTTTGCTTAATACATGCCGACTTTCTGTGTTTTAAATGTTAAAGATACCATGCTTTGTAGTCTTCAAACCATTAAAGAGTACATAAGCAGACATAAACCTCAAAAGTGTAGCATATCGTTAGAAAGCTTATAAAATGGCACAGTTTTTAAAATATTCCGACACTTTCTTGTATACAGGGTGTGAAAAATGCAATGGACATCGTTTTTACAATTTTTATCAAATATCTTAATTTTTATCTTTGAATCTATTTACAATGGGGTTGTTACAACTGATCCTCCATCATTTTCCATTATTCTTGTTCAAAATTTTATGTAGAACACGAAAATGACATTATCTACTCAAATCCATATACAGGTAAGCTGTATTAAGTTTAAAAGCATAGTTATTTTTGAAAAACATAAAATAATTTTTTGGGAAGCTAATTTTTAGACTTGGAACATTTGATATGCATCATCACACTTCATTTACTTTGTACTTACGCCAAAAAAATTTTGTCACACTGAGTACAAATCACCCTGTATAAAAATTTGAACGAATGGTGTTTTTGGCCTCTGGGGACATCAAAATGAAAAAGTAAATCGGTCCCGGTCTTAGGTCTTACCATGAGACCTACGGTAATAGCTACTTCCCTATAGGGAAATTCGCTAAAATGCAATGGTTAAAAACTGTATTGAATTGTTGTTTCAATTACACGATGAACTACCCAATTAAGTATTTTATACAAAGTGTATTTCATCGTTTTAAAGCAATAGTACAAAGTCCAACATAAAATAAATTATATTAAACAGTAAATCCAATTATTCTTTACTTGTGATTTGCTGCATTTTTGTACACTTATAATTTTAGTTAATTTTTTCCCAAGATTATACCGGGTGTCCCATAATACTCCCCCTTGTTAATTTTGAACGGCTGTATATATTCAAACGAGCTTCGATACACGTTACTAGGGTAATGTAAAGTACTTTTTGGTGGTATTTTAAAACGTTTTTATTAGGTCGCTTTCTTGTCCGCTACAAATTTTGTAATTCACCCCCCCCCCCCCACCTCCAAATAGGGGTTGCTGGGGGCAACTCAAAATGTGGCAACCCCTATCAAGTAGCACATAATTTTAAAAAGCTTTAAAAACGAAATTAATGCCTCAAATCCGACTTTGATATGACCAATTTAAAAAAAATTATGGCTAGTAATGTTAGAAGTTAATTTAACTGGAATTAAACATTCCATCACTTATATTTTTTCATGGCTGTAAATTTTCAAATAACCTTCAGTACACGTGACCAGGGTGATGTCACACACTTGAATTTCATCACCCACCCCCAAATAGGAGTTGCCATTGGGATTTTTTTAATACCCACCCTACTCTACCAATCCCAACTCTATACTGCTTTTTAAAGAAAACAGACGACTCATCGTTAAAACCTGATTTTGTTTGTTGGATTTCAATAAGTTTACCCGTTTTGTTCACAGCAAAGAAAGATGCAGATTTTCCGAGACATCAACTTCAGTTTCTCAAGGACTGTGGACGAGGATGGTTTGGACGGGTGAGTTGAGTTTTCTACTACCGAATACTGACTACTATCATTGACTTTCTGAATGAGACATCCATATCTATTTGGACACCTGTTGCAAATTTGATTCAAAATTCATCATTGTTGATTTAGGCGGATGCCACAATTTGATTTCCTCTTCCAATAGTTTACAGTAAGTTGTCTTTTCTGCTTGGATTGGTTAAAAAATATTGACAAAATAGGCCATCTTACCTCCGTCTGTAGTTTGAAATTTCCATCAACAAGGTGTTGACTAGTTGTTGCAATCCCAACATTGTCAAGGTGTGCAATAGTTCAATGTTGAGCTTGCAATGAAACTCAACCTGTTGATGCAAATTTTGGACTACAAAGTAAGATAACTAAGTGAGATAAGTAGGCCTAGTACTGATGAGAAAGATTTTGTCATAAAAGGAGTCCTATGACTATAATATGGTCTTTTATAAAGTCTTAATGAAAGGTAGAAATCATTGATTGACATCAATGTAAGTATTCATTTGCTGTTAATAACAGCATTATGTATTTCGTGATGATTTTAATGCATTGTAAAATGTCTACAACATTAAATGATTTTGATTTGATATGATTGTCATCTTTTGCGGTTCACTTGGAATGGGCGTCTACAAATCTTTTAATCTGGAGTGTAGTCTTGAGGCTACTCTGATGGACTAATAGAATGGAATTTGTTTTGGAATGTTTTACAGTATCTACAGGAATTTGTTAGGGACTTGTCTAAAAAACCTCATCTGTTTAAATGAGTCAATATTTAGAAAAAAATTGTTGTTTGGATAAAAAAAAAGATCAGTTTATTGACTACTATTTAGTTTCTTAACTGTTGTGAATGAGAATGCCTCTAAAGAAACAGTTTTTGTGTGTTGCTTCTGGAAGACTGTGAAAGGGATGGTTTGGACGGATTAGTCCAGTTTTTGGACGTTGTACAGTTTCCTTACGTAAGGCCAAGGCTACTATCCAAGTGTGAAATGTGTTAACGATATTAACTGTGTTAGCGTCACGTTTCATCTGGGAAGCTCTATAGTGAGGTCCGCTGCTGGCTGAGCTGATAAGCCTTCTATAGCCCAGTCAGGGATTCAAGAGATTCAAGAGAGATTCAAGAGATTTATTATACCATTAAGTAAATGAATACAATAGGTAACGTCAAACTATTCTAAAATAAACAAACCAATGCATATAAATAATCAAACGTTCATCATTACAAACCATGCTGAAATAAAAAATGGTTAATCTTCACAGCAAACAAAACAGCAAACCATGCAGTTATGGCAAACAAAAGAAAATGAAAACTGTGACACATACCTGAGTGTAAAAATAAAATTACAAACTAAAAACAATGGCCAGCCTTCAGAGCATCAAAAAATTCTTTAGTTTCATAAAAAGGATTCGTTTCAAGCCAATCTTTTACAATTTTTGTGAATTTTGACTTCCGCAATGACCGTACACTTTCCGGGAGAGCATTGTAAAACTTTTTGCCTGTAACAGGAAAACAGTTATTAGTTTTACTCAATCTATTGCTACTTAAATGTACATTGTTTCTATTTCTTGTAAAATATGAGTGGACATCCTTGTTACAAACCAGATCTTCTTCCATGTCCTTAATAGCTAACAAAGATTGATAAATATATACATTTACAACAGTCATAATACGAAGTTCTGCAAACAAATGCCTACAATGCTCCAGATAATGAACCTGACATATTATTCTGATAGCCTTTTTTTGATGGAGCAGTACTTTCTGAGCATGCGGGGAGTGACCCCACAGGAGCGTGCCATATACAATATGGGACTGAAAAAAAGAAAAGAAAGCCAGTCTCAAAAAGTTAAAAGGTAGTTCAGAGGTCAACTTCCTCAAAAGATGTCTTACCCTACTTAATTTTACACAGAGTGCATCTATGTGGTCATCCCACGCAAGCTCCGAGTCCAGGGTGAAACCCAGCAGTCTTACAGAATCATCACTGGAAACATTTTTATTAAGGCTAAACATGATTTCTTGAGTTTTGGCTGCATTCAAGGCCAATTTATTTCCATCAAACCATTGAGACGTTTCATTTAACAATGAGCTAGCAGAATTTTTTGCCATAATATGATCAATGTGTGTGGCAAAAATAGTGGTATCATCTGCATACATCAATATATCATTTGAGACACCATAATACAAGTCATTCATGGCAACAATGAATAAGAAGGGACCAAGGATTGAGCCCTGTGGGACTCCATGCTTTACCACTCGAGAGTTTGATTTATCCCCAGCCCAGGATACAACCTGGAACCTATTATCAAGGTAGGACTCAAACATTTTGAGCGCACAGGCTCCAACACCATACATTGAAAGCTTTTTGACAAGTAGGTCATGCGGCACACAATCAAAAGCGCGTGACAGATCGCATAACACAACAGAGGTTGACATTTTGTCTTCAAAAGCATTAAGAATAACCTGTAAAAGGGAGCCCACCGCAGTTACAGTGGACTTGCCCCTACGAAATCCGTGCTGAGCAGGGACTAGCAAGTTATGGGTTTCAAAGTGATCACTTATCTGCCTTAACATTAAGGCTTCAAATATCTTGCCTAGCACTGGTATCAGGGACACCGGCCTATAGCTTGCTAGTACATTTCTAGGGCCCTTTTTAAACACAGGCACTGTTCTGGCTGTTTTAAGAACATCAGGAAAGACGCCTTCAAGAAGGCAGCAGCTAAACAAATGGGCCAATAAAGGAGCGATTACATGTACAACCCTTTTGATAAAATCAGTTGACATATCATAAACATCTTTACTGCTAGAGGACTTAAAACTACTGACTACATTTGTTACCTCTAATGCACTAACCATTTTCCACTCAAACTTATTATGTACCCCTGGAATACAATCAAAATAATTGTTATCCTTTAGTGGAATGGAGTCAACAATACCATCCACAGAGTCCAAAAAGAAATTGTTGAAATCCTCTGCGGTTGCAAAACTCAAATCAGCGCCCGCTCCCGCCCTAGGTCTGCTCTGGTTGATCAAATCCCATGCTGCCCTACACGGATTAGCCGAGGTGGCGATCCTGACTGCCGCCGCTGACTGCTTTGCCTCTCGCAGACAAGTGCGATACTCCTTTCTCAGCTCTCGAAGGTAGGGAAGAGTGCTCGGCCTACTTTTTGAAATTTCATGGACAAGAAGAATATATTTCTTAAATTCTGCAAGCTCACTAGTATACCAGGTATTGCACTTTTTGACGCGCGGTTCACCGGTGTTACTATTCAGGTTAACCATCTTGCTTCTCATAGGGAATTGCAAATTAAATTGGTCACTAAAAAGAGAGAAAAATTCAGAGAAGGCTGAATTTGCTGGGAGAATACAGAGTTTGTTAAACCAAGCAGGTGTTAGGTTTGTAATGATGTCACAGAACCTTTGCAATCGTCCTTCATTGGTTAGTCCTAACCTAAAACACACGTTTTTTAATTTAGGTTCTACCGAGTCTTTTCCTAGGGTAGACCTAGCTTATCATATAACATCAAACTCCAATGTCAGTTGTGTTGGAACTGCAGAACACTCATTAAAACTTCAGGTGTGAAAATTGACATCACTTAGATACAGGGTTAACAAACAGTCTTTTGGATATCCTTTGTTAGTTGAAGCTGTTGAGGTGATAATTTAGAACTTGCAAATTAAGTCTGTCTGAGAAAAAAGGACATTGACAGTTATAGAGTTGATTGACTCTATAAAAAAGATATTTATTTAAGAAAGATTGACTATACAATCACTCCTTGTGATTTATTGTGTGACTTCACTCCTACCTTCACCTCAGGTGGCTCAGCTGGCTCAGGATGAGTCCAAGTCAAGGTTATCTTCAGCTTGCTTCCTGTTTGTTGTTCATAGTTTGATGGCTACTTTACACAAATCTGTAGCATAAATATTTTTAATTCGCTTTCCACTCCTAAATCTAACTTTGTGTGGTTTATTGTCATCTTTTCATTTTTCATGGACATAAAAATGGAACTAAATAAAGTTTATTAGTAAGATTTCCACATAGCCTATTTGGATTTAATAACTACCTAAATAGCTTTTACTGGAATGTGTCAAAACTTGACCGTGTGAACAGTCAATGACCCTATGGTTAGGATTAGTTTTACAATTGACGAAATTGTAAGAAGCCCGTCATGTGAGTCGGTGGCTCAGTCGGTAGCGTCGCAGACTTCGGGCCCAAGGCAGCGATGTCGAGGGTTCGGATCCTGGTCACTGCCGATAACATTTTATCAGTACAGTCCACCTTTGTACTGTACCAGCCCACTCCTTGCTTTGCTGTAAACGATCCACGCACGGGCGCTTAGTCTATGTGGACGGGCAAATGCAAAGTTAAAAGAGGCCGCCAACCTCTTAAAAAAAAAATTTAATCCAATTTATTTTCTGGTAGAGCAGTTACCTTCCATCAACTTGGTGCCTGTTTGTTGGTGGTTTATAGACTACTCCTAATTAAGTAACCTCTACATGGGTAAGGATATATTGTGCAGATAAGATCTCTTTGTTTATATTCAATTAAAGCTGTTTTTGCGTCTGATTTTGGATGAAACTATAGTGCAAAGTACTGTGATTCAAGGAGAACAGTTGTCATTAGAGTGCTTGTAATAAAATTGCTCTCATGTGTTATGTAGTTGGTCGTCTAACTCGTACATCAATACTGTTCAGTTCCAAGGCACAGCAGTATTCAGTTCCAGAATACACCAGGCATAAAGCAGTAGGACAAAGGCTCCCCTTGTAGGTGTTGGTGTACAACATTTGATCATCTTTTTTTAATGGCTCTTCAACGTTAAAATTCTATACAAAGTGATTCCTAGGTACTTTAAACGGTCATTGTGATTAAGATTAACCTTCAAAAACAATTAGGAGTTTGAGGTTGACCAGTTGGGATAAAGCTTCAAGGTTTGAAAATATTTTTCAGGTTTTGCAAGATTGTTATCATGTTTATGGAGGGTTTTATCTATATTTGCTTGTTGTCAGGTGGTGGAGGGAGAGGTGACTGCACCGGATGCCAGACACAAGGTGATGGTACGCATACTGAGGGAGGATGCGACACCAGCAGAGCAGCGGCTGTTCCTGGGCGAGGTTAAGCAGTACCGGGACCTGGACCACAGGAACGTGCTGAGTCTGGTGGGACGCTGTCTGGAAACTCAGCCGTACCTGGTGCTGATGGAGGCTTGTGCGGTGAGTCTAAGACTTCACATCCTAGGATGCTATAAATTCCGGACAGCCTATGCTGAACCAATGTAGGCTGGGTCTGTGTCCCAAGTCGGGTATTGTTCACTGGTACGGCGGTTTGGTCCTTTATTACCGGGCAAAATAACCAAAAATGGCATTTATATTAAACTGGTTTATCCATTGGGTACACTTTGATCTGATGTTTGTCCATAATGATCCTCAGATCTACAAGATTATGCCTAAACAAGATCCAATTCGGTCCCTCTTCTTTTTTTACATGCAATACAGTACGTTTACTTTTTTTGGCTTTTATGGAATATTTTAACACAATAGAGCTACATCAGCTTATTACTCTCAAGACCATAGACTAAGTGTTAGAAGAGTCTTAATGACTGTGATCGTAGTTCTACAGTCCATTTTTCACTTATTGGAAGGTTTAAAATAAAAAATACAAAACACAACATTGAACTTGGTAAAATGATTCTCTCACTTTATTGTTTGACAGTGAATATAACACAGCTGGGTAATTTTTGAATAATGGATTTTGCAGGGTGACCTGAAGAGTTTCCTGCGTAGTGGCAACACTGTGTTGTCAGAGGAAGGTGTCTGTCTGTCTGTCATGTGTCAGGTGACGGAAGGACTGAGACATATGATCACTAACGGCTTCGTACACACGTAAGTACCAAACGAATGTAACTAGCTAGTGTAGGGGTCTGCAAGTCCTCAATATATTCAGGTTGGGTCGGGCCAGAAATCATTTTCGGGTCAAGCTTGGGTCGTATCGAGCTGAGCCGAGCTTTTACTTTCGCTATCGCAGAAAGACTGCAAAGATGCGCGAATGAAAGTTGTCGATTATACTGTGATTGTGGTTTAACTCCCTTTTTTTGTCTTTTTACCTTTAGTGAAATACTTTTGCATAGGTGTATCTCAATAGTTTTTGTCTTAAATTCTCACAAATATCTTTCTTAAAAGTGTTGCATTTCTGCCAAAGCCGATGTAACTGAGTCTTTAACACGGAACACATCTTTCTGTAAAAAATTTATGGAATTTCATTAAAAATGTGAAGGAGACAATGCAAGACAAATGTAGTGTAAGAAAAATTGTCCACTTTTGTTTTATTGAGTTAAATATTCAGATAAATAATTGTTGTTATAACTGTAACAATTGATTGCACCATTATTTGTTTTGTTTATTTCCAATATGGAGATTCTACCAACAAATTTATTCTGTTTATCTAGAGCTCATATAATATGAGTGAACCGGGCAGAACAACGCCACAAACCACAGAATTGTGTGATGATTATATTCTCTGATGAATTGTTAAGTAATGCAACATCTTGTGTATGAATTGCAGAGACCTGGCAGCCAGAAACTGTCAAGTCACTTCAGATCTGACTGTCAAAGTTGGGGACTACGGCACCAGCATAGACACTTACAAGGTAATTGTGGCACACATTCACTACTCAAGTTAATAGACTCAAAACAACCATACCTGCTCTGATACATGCCAAATAGGTGTTGAAACCTCATTGGATGGTTGTTTTTCACCTCCCTTTGGATTCCCTGGAAGCTCCTGCCGCTGTCAGCTTTAACCTCAGCTTTATTTAGCAAGAAATCTGAAAGTTGGATTACTATTTTGCTCTATACATCCATAGAGAAGTAAGGTATAGAGGAAACATGCTTATGGGTTAACCGTGGAATCGTGTTCAATGTTTATCCATGGATAACACATTAGTTGTATGATAAGTATTAAATACATTTTTGGCAACATGATGTATTTTTCTTTAAATTTCAAAATAGTAAAACTTTAAATGGGTTGAAAAAATGAATTAATAATATGCATTTACTTGAATGAAATTAGGTTTTTCTCAAATGATTCCATATTCATAGTATATTTGTGATTGAGTAATTTAATCAAGTATTCAAGATATCTGAACACCATTTCCCCAATTATTAGACTTTTGCTCCCCTCATTACTACAGTTATGAATCTCACCGTAAAATATGCTGCAGTTTACTCCCAATTAGCCGATCCCTTAAGTTTTCCGAGGTCGTTTTCGGCCAAATCATGTTCACATCATTAGATTATGAAAATATCCCACTGTTTATATTTTCATGATCTACTGATGTAGACATGATTGTGTCGAGTTATAGCTCAGGTGAAACTCAAACCAAATATAATTTTATTATTTTTAAACTAGAAAGATCCATGGTCTGTTTCAAATACTTTCTTTCAAGACTATTAAAAAATTGTTGAGCATGTTCGTATTTTAATTTCTTTAATAACACCACCTAATAAAAAAAATGTTTTTATTAAAATTCTATTTGATCATTTTTTGTTTGCTACCTATTGTTAAAACATATTTATTTAAAGTATTTGAATTCATAATGTTGTTCCATAACACCTAACCTAAAAATCTACGCTACCTCAGTGTTATCCTAGATTATCGGTAACCAATGTGGTTTCAGTCCCCACAACCTTGGTTAATCGGGAGTGTATTGTATTAAAATAATTGTGACATCCCTTGAAGATCTGAGTAAGACGACGTTGTTATTTGCAGGACGAGTACTACATTGCTGGAGACATAGCAGTACCAGTGAGATGGTGCGCTCCAGAGACACTGCATTGTACAGACACCACCATAGAGACTAAACAGGTGAGTGGGGACCGAGCTTGGCTTTGTTATTTGCAGGACGAGTACTACATTGCTGGAGACATAGCAGTACCAGTGAGATGGTGCGCACCAGAGACACTGCATTGTACAGACACCACCATAGAGACTAAACAGGTGAGTGGGGACCGAGCTTGGCTTTGTTATTTGCAGGACGAGTACTACATTGCTGGAGACATAGCAGTACCAGTGAGATGGTGCGCACCAGAGACACTGCATTGTACAGACACCACCATAGAGACTAAACAGGTGAGTGGGGACCGAGCTTGGCTTTGTTATTTGCAGGACGAGTACTACATTGCTGGAGACATAGCAGTACCAGTGAGATGGTGCGCACCAGAGACACTGCATTGTACAGACACCACCATAGAGACTAAACAGGTGAGTGGGGACCGAGCTTGGCTTTGTTATTTGCAGGACGAGTACTACATTGCTGGAGACATAGCAGTACCAGTGAGATGGTGCGCACCAGAGACACTGCATTGTACAGACACCACCATAGAGACTAAACAGGTGAGTGGGGACCGAGCTTGGCTTTGTTATTTGCAGGACGAGTACTACATTGCTGGAGACATAGCAGTACCAGTGAGATGGTGTGCTCCAGAGACACTGCATTGTACAGACACCACCATAGAGACTAAACAGGTGAGTGGGAACCAAGCTTGGCTTTGTTATTTGCAGGACGAGTACTACATTGCTGGAGACATAGCAGTACCAGTGAGATGGTGCGCACCAGAGACACTGCATTGTACAGACACCACCATAGAGACTAAACAGGTGAGTGGGGACCGAGCTTGGCTTTGTTATTTGCAGGACGAGTACTACATTGCTGGAGACATAGCAGTACCAGTGAGATGGTGCGCACCAGAGACACTGCATTGTACATACACCACCATTGAGACTAAACAGGTGAGTGGGGACCGAGCTTGGCTTTGTTATTTGCAGGATGAGTACTACATTGCTGGAGACATAGCAGTACCAGTGAGATGGTGCGCACCAGAGACACTGCATTGTACATACACCACCATTGAGACTAAACAGGTGAGTGGGGACCGAGCTTGGCTTTGTTATTTGCAGGATGAGTACTACATTGCTGGACACATAGCAGTACCAGTGAGAGGGTGCGCTCCAGAGACACTGCATTGTACATACACCACCATTGAGACTAAACAGGTGAGTGGGGACCGAGCTTGGCTTTGTTATTTGCAGGATGAGTACTACATTGCTGGAGACATAGCAGTACCAGTGAGATGGTGCGCTCCAGAGACACTGCATTGTACAGACACCACCATAGAGACTAAACAGGTGAGTGGGGACCGAGCTTGGCTTTGTTATTTGCAGGATGAGTACTACATTGCTGGACACATAGCAGTACCAGTGAGAGGGTGCGCTCCAGAGACACTGCATTGTACAGACACCACCATAGAGACTAAACAGGTGAGTGGGGACCGAGCTTGGCTTTGTTATTTGCAGGACGAGTACTACATTGCTGGACACATAGCAGTACCAGTGAGGTGGTGCTCTCCAGAGACACTGCATTGTACAGACACCACCATTGAGACTAAACAGGTGAGTGGGGACCGAGCTTGGCTTTGTTGCTGGATGAGTAAATATTACTGGAGATATAACAGGATGATTTGTGGCAATGGTGTCTAGGGATCCACTTGTAGGGGAACATAATGGGACAGCATTCCAAAACCTCTCAGTATCAGAACTTCTTTTGACGATTTAAAGTATTTTTATCAAAAATGTTGCACATTGCTTAATGCTTTACTACTTTTTGATAGGCTGTATAGCACAAAATCCTTTGTATCTAAATGAGAATGATAGTAGAGGGTGAAAATGAGAGGAATTATAGATGCCTAAAGGTTTTAGTTCTTATACCCCAAATTTCAGAACTAAAGAAAGTCTACTCCTAGTGATGCATACAAGAGATAAGAGATTTGTCAGTTTGTTCAAGACAGGTCTAAAGCAAGAATCGACTTCCTTCAGCTTTGTCTCTGTAATGTGGTTTCATCAATCCCTAAGGTTTGTAAATGCTTGAGTTTTAGATTCTTCTAAATAATTCTTCCCGTGGAATGAGATTAATCTTGATTAAGATCAACTTTTGTTTCCATTGTGTGGTTCTCTGACATTGAATTGTTATTAAAAGCTGCTCTTTACTTTTTTCCACACCCATTGTCTCTCACCCATCTGATACTGAACATGACCGTAATCAGAGTTTCATTCTAACAACATCACCTCCTGCACTATTCATTCATATTTAGGGTTTCTGATAAACACTTATCCAAGAGTCATCAACCAGGTTGGTGTGGAACCACCATTTTTAGATTTGGGATGCCAAACATTTTTCCATGCATTGTACAATTTGGGGCAGTACATAGCAAGGATCGGATAGAGTAAGAACTTAGAACTTCATCTCGATCTAATTCCCACTTTGTGATGTCTAGTTGATAACAAGGGCAAGTTCCACATTTCTCCAGATTATACTTTTATCCATTTTCATATTGATTCCACGACTGCATATGCTTCCTTTTCAACCATACTGTGCTTTAGTTCACTATAAGACAAATTCTTTGAGAAGAAGGCTACAAAAGTCTAGGAAAAAAAGAATATTTATAAACAATCAACATAAATGGACATTTAACAATGTTCAACATCAGTAAAGAATATAGAAGAGAGAATATAGAATAGTTCCTGTTTTTCACATACATGTTAGCAGTTTTTACAATATTTGGGTTTTATCATGAATGAGTGTCTATCATACTCTTTTTCTCTATAACAAAGGCCAAAACGTCAAAATATTTAATTTAACTCAATTTTATTATTATTGTTATTGTTATTGAACTTGTTTATTACTTGAAGCTAAGAATCAGCAGAAAACACAAGTCAATATTTTGATTGATAAGTCAATGCCCTTTCCACTCCCACTATCAAGTGTGCTGAATATTCCAGAAAAATGGGATATTTACTTTCAAAACAATTCAAATATTAGAAGAGTTATTATATAATTTTTACGCATTGTGTAATAGAATGTAAAAAATCAAATTACTCTTTTTTTAACTGCGTCACCCTTGACATGCTAGAATTATTTTTCCCTTGATAAAACTGAGGGCATTTCATGGTCATAAATTATATAAATGTGCTGAAGGTTCTGTAGGTCTTAGTCCCTAGATAAATATGATATTTTGTGAACTATATTGTTCTCATAAACACTGGTTTAGGTAAGAAAAACATTTCTTGTCTGTTTGATTAATTTATTTTTAATTTATAGAATTCTTCTACTATGTTGGTCTCTGATTTATAAAACAAATTTTTCTTGTTGGATGCTGGGTGCTGAGGCATTTTAATCTATAATTAGTAATTATTAGGAAACAAATCCTTCTCATTTGCTAGCAGCCTCTGAAATTGTTAGAAATTGCTGATCCGAGTCTAAATCATGCCAAAAAGAAGGGATTCTATAGTCTAAAAATTCTCCCAGCTCAGCTTCGAATAATAAAGAATGGGAGGCAATGCTAAACATTGAAGGCCACATTTTTGTCTAACAAAGAAATCTTTAGGCTAACTTTTGTATGTGCTATCTTTCCTCTAAGTCTGAAGAGAAGAAATTTACAATGCCTAGAAAAACAACTCCATTTCATTATTTATTGCGGTTAGATAAGCAAACAGATAACTGTTATGTAATCTTAATCGATTTAAAGCTCCAAGACCTATATTCATATTCCTTTATATTATTTGCTGTCCAGTTTTTAAAATGTTTTTGTTAGTTTAAATATTTCTTTTGTAAAATAGCCAGTTTTTATTTTTGAAACCCACTCAATTTTATCATTGTTTTTCATTTTAAGTGTCAAAATGTTAGTATTTGTATTTCATTTTTAGACAATGTACAGGAGATGTAATTGCTCATAATTTTTTTTTTATGTCTTTGTACCTACTTGAAGATTATTTGAAACTTTTTATTGATTATAGGTTTTTTTACCCTAAAACCTAATTTGAAAGTTCTAGTTTGAAATTATTTTCAAATATTTTTATCTACTTTCACCATGAACATGCAACCTCGCCATTCACATTAACACTCAAAGGTCTGATGATATTGTGAAACATGTTCATTAAACTAATTGAAACACTGATCTAATGAATCACTACATCCAAGGACACCTGACAGTCCGTGTGATTGTGTATTTCCCAGTTATCACGTGGCAACGGTTCTCTTTTGTGATCTCGTGTAACCGTCAGCTCATTACTAAGAACATGAAAGGAAATCACCCACACACTCACCGATAAAGATTTAGCAAAATTGTAAAAAAACCTATCAGATAGCACAAAGTTTGAACACACACATGTGACGAAGGAGTGATTCTTCATGAGTCCAAGTTGTGACGTGACGTCAATGGGCACTAGACTGAGTGTCCGAGGAACTTATCAGCTGATAAGGGTTTATAATGAACTAGTTTCTGACTTTTGGACCATTCATTGTTGGGTACGGATGGAAACCGGTTCAAGACCTGATTCATATGGAAAATGTGCTTTTACAAGTTGAAGTTGGTGCTGGATGGGGGTGTGGATGTGAGTGTTTTGCGTGACTTAGTGTGTGTTTTATTTTAGGAGTGCTATAAACTGATAATCTCTAACCAATTATTTTAGATAACGCAGATACAAAAAATGAAATTATAATAAAAGTAAACTAAATGTAAAATACACTTTGAATATTTTGCTACAATTAATATATAATCTGAGTTAAGAGTTTTTAAGTAACTGTTAAGTCTCTGTAAATAAAATAATTGTCTTTTGACACAAGACACAACAATACCAATTTTTCCGTCTAAGACTCTAGTAATACAAGTATTAAACAATTATATTGGTATTATAGAACACTTCTTTTATTAAAAATAAAATATGGTTATTTGAGGTTGAAAACTCTGAGACCTTTTAAACAATGAATAAACAAAAAACAAAAAACAGATATCAAATGCCAGACCAAAATGTTTGATTCTTTTTTTTTAATACAAGAAACAGTACAAATAAAAAAAAAATTAAAGACTGTTATAATAAATTGTATTAATTCCACCTACAAAATGGAATTATAAATTTACAGAACAATTTAATTTGGAACTTAAATCAGTAAGATTTTACTTAGGTTTAATAGAAATAGATAGATCATCATAACACAAGTAAAGATAATTTACATTAATGTGGTTCCCCAACGTAAATTTTGTAGGTAACTTTAATAACCAAAATCTATTATTTGTTATTTTTGAAAATGAGTTGCAATTTTGTTTTTAACTTGTGAGATTTTATGAGTATAGAATACACATTCATGGGGAGGACAGACATATTAAAAAAGCCTTGAGAATGGAATTATAACAAAACTGTTTGAAGAAATTAAATGTTTAAAAAAAAAAACATCTTGTTGTAATTTGTCTGAACATTTTATCTGTTGTTAGTTTATATGTTGTGTTTACGTGTAGGCCTCATTAATTAGAATTTTTTTTACAAAACAGCTTTTCTTGCAATATAGGCCTACATACATAAAACTCTTACTTAAGAAAAACACAAATCTTCATAGATTTGTTTGTAGACAAGCTTTCTTTTTCCATTAAAGAAACATTTTCATTGATCAAGTTTCGATCTAAAATTTTACCCATCAACTATAATTTTGCAGAAAAGGTAGTCTTTGGTAAATGCGGCCCTGGTACATAAATTTTAATAATTTGCAACTATCAAAAAAGGCTATGCATCTGTGGAACGGTTTCTGTTTCGGCATAGCTAGAAAGAATGAGACTGAATAAAACAACCTAGATAAAAATTGTATTTTGTTAGAAGAGAATGTAAAATATTTTTTTCTCTTAAGGCAGCAATCTACAAACTGAAAGAGCTTTTGCAGAACTTTGTCAAACATCATCTACTGCGCATAGCAAGGAGTACCTGTATTTGTGTGCTGTAATGAAAAATGACAGTTAATGGCAGAATTTTGACTAAGGTTCGTTTGATAAAAAAAATCCATATGAAAACATTGACAAATAATTAACGTGCACATGTGACTGCTGCAGGTGACCCCGGAGGCCAATGTGTGGAGTCTGGGAGTGTTGTTGTGGGAGATATGTCAGCTGGGAGAGATGCCGTACTCTGAACTCTCTGACGACCAGGTAACACGCTGTCAACTTATCATGTCTTATTATGCAATCTTAGACGATAAAATTATCAATTATTTTACGATTTTGTGAGGGGGAAGTTTAAACCAAACTCACATATTACATAGGCCACAAAGTTTTCTTTTCTCTTCCTAAATTCTAAGTACTAGGTTAATTTCTACTACTACTAGGTTTTTTTTACACAGTCAATTTCTTTACTTTTTTTTAATCCTACGTTAGTGATACCACATAGTTTTCTTCCAGGTGCATTTGTAAATATGAGATATTGCCAGTCGGCAGCTTTAGGAGTAACAGTACCTCAAGTGCATCTTTCTAGGAACTGATTGAACATTATTTTGATCTCACACCTCCCCCGTAAAACTCCTATTAATCAGTTGAAGCCCGAAGAGTTGCATAGCACAAAGCCCGGCTCCGTGAGTCACCGATGTTGTTGTTTTAGTTTGCTATATATTTTTATAAATATTTAAAGTAAGAGTTTTTTTATTTCATGTACAATTTTGTTGATTATATACATGGTTTTAATACGTTTTTGTATTAATATGTATAAAAAGCATTGTTTGTCTAACATTGTGTCTTAAAATCAAAGACACCAACGAAGGGTTAATATGAGTGATGAAGCAGCGCTGTTGGCTGAAGAGAAGGTAGAGTTGCAATAGTTCATAGGTAAACAACAGAGAGAAGTGTTTATTTTGCGATGAAGTGTATTTTTTGTATCACTCACTGATCAATGCTGTGTGCAGTTTGCCTTTTGTTTGACATTAAAAATAGCTTTAATGGGCCTTGAATGGAAATGAAATATGAATTGGATTTTAAAAATCGAACAATAAACAATTGTTATTTTCACAGGCAATGATAGTTGCCAGAATGAATTAATACAAAGAAAAAACTAATGTATGTGGTTCACTAGGTGATAGTGAAGGTGCTAGGTGGAGGTGTGAGGTTGCCGCCCCCCGCACTACATCCCCGACATGCCCCCGCCTTGTACAGTCTCATGTGTCACTGCTGGGGCACTGCGGCGACCCGTCCCGCACTGGACCATGTGCAGGCCATGCTGAACCATCTGCACACCAGTCACAGTGAAGAGGACTTTCAGCGTAGGTGGGACGCACTCAAACCCACCACCTCCACACCTGAGGTAGGTCAAGTGACCTTTGGTAAAGTGAAAATCAGCTGGGGTGGGCATCAGAACTTGGAAACTAGAAATTAATAAAAAAAAATTGTCTAGTCGTTCTTTGAACCATCAATGTTTAGTCTAAATATCTTTAATCCATCTGAAAAGAATGTTTTCAATCCAAAACTGTCTTTTTGATGAATTTTACTTCATTATCAGGATCCTTCACAAACTGCCCTCACCTTAAACTTCTGAAATACTAAAATTGAATTCTTGCTGTAGCTGTAAGCAATAACGAAAATACAATGTAATATAAATCAGGAGTTTTGTTTAGGTTTCAGTATGAAATCTGTGAACTTTTGCAATATTAGACTCTCTTCTAATTATTGCTTTCACATAACATTTTGCATTTACTTTTAGCAAATTTCTTACTTCCAAGATTTTTATTTGAAATACAGTTTTTAAATTATTTTTGGACAGTATTTTGGACATGTTATCTGTTTTTCCACACAATAAAATATAAACACAAGCATGTAAAAATATGCACAGAGAAAATAACTGATCAGAATCAAGTGTTTTCTGTGAAAGATATTTTGTTGTTAAGGTACTCCCATCTCCCTCTTCCTGCCTACTCATGTGTTTGTGTTTTAATTATTTGCTGTGTTCTTACATTTCCAACATTACAAGAGATAATTTAAGATTATAAGATTATTGTAAGATTATTGTGTTGTTATTGATTGATTGTAAGATTATTTTCTTACATTAGCTCAACCAGACACTTTAAGCAAATCATTTCACTGAGACAGGAAAACTTAATCATCGTAGTCATACTGGGAACTGTCTTTGGTTTTTCAGATAACGCTAGAAACAATGACAGCCAGAAGTGACTTTGACTCTGGTGTAGATCTAGAGATAAAGTCAACTGACAGAGACATCCTGGATCTGGTCAAGAAGTCCTTGTCAGATGTCAACCTTACTCCTGGCACATCCTCGCCCCAGCTCTCTGTAGCCAGGTAAACTAGTGTTCACTCTGTTATTAATTATCATAAAAAGTTCCTCTTACAACGACTTTATTCATTCCAAAACACCATTTGGATTCATCAATAAGCATTTTATCAACATTGTAAAATTTAGATCGTTACTCATGTTTGTTAGAATGGTAGGGCCTGCATTGTTTGATATGAACGTCCTTAACAAAACAAACAGGATGGAGTTGGTGAGTTAAATAAATCAAGGACCCAATATCAACATAGCATAACATTAAACACAAGATGTTTTAGTGTTGATATTATAGGGTCAAGCTCCTAAACAAAACAACAAGGCAATTATGTTAAAAGTTTCTCTATAACAGATTTTTGTTTACTTTCAAACACCATTTTGATTCTCACAAGATAAGAAAATTAATCAATATAACATAACATTATGACATTTAGACAAGAAATCAGTATTGACGATGTCTATTGTACAATATTCTCTGTAAGTAGTCTTTAAGTTTAATATTGTGTTTTCATAACTGACTCCATTCTGTACAAAATGTGCAATATGAATAAAGTTATTTTGATTGATTGATTGTAAAACTTGTATTGATTGATGACAAAGAACTTGAACTTATATCTACTTGGATTTGTAACGTGGTAGTTCCTAGTTTGATTACTGATTACTGACACTAGTCCTACATTGACTGTCCACAGCAGTTCCGGTGGAGAGTTCTTCTCCCAGACTAGTCTGCCTGTGTTGAAGAAGCAGCAATCGCCCAGTCTCACTAACCTACATGGCTCCGTGGAGGATGTATCAAGGACTTTAGAGGTACTTTAATTGTTGTTCATATCACACCGGTAGGTATTAAAAACTCTCTGAGCTTATCACTACCATCACTGATCCAAAGTATTTTCATTACTTTAATTTTTACAGGGCTGCAAAGTTATTTCCTTATACATAATAACCCTAATAACAAAGTTTTTATGACTTAAAATAATGTTGAGAAGATCTATTTCTTTTCATTTTTATATAGTCAAAAAATATATTCTTTCAGGCATTTATTTTGAACTAAAATTTTAGTAACATAAAACTTTTTACTTTCAGGGGGAAAAGAAAGAAGTTAGAGATACAGAAGAGTTTGACTCTTGGTTGAGAGGAGTTGAAACAAACACCGAAGAGGATGTCAAGTTTGTCAAGAAAATCTCAGAGGCAATAAAAGACCTGGACGATGCCTTGGCGCTGGAGAAAACATCCTCATCTTCAGACGACTCTAGACAGGAGAGCCCGATGAAAGAAGACAGAAACCCAGTGTTGGACTTTAGGTTGGGTCCGATGAGCAGCAACAGAGTGACAACAGTGGGGACGACGCAGCCTGACAGTCTAGTGGACAGCTTGAGACGAGACTCCTCAGGGACGGACACGGAGGAGGAGACTTGGCGAGGGAGGATAGAGCGGGGAGAGTTCTCCGAGAAGGTGAAGGAGAAGTCCAAGAGTGTGACGGATCTGATGATACTGACACACATTGAGAGTGAGGGAAGTGAGACGGACTCGCTGCCTTCACTGACTAGGCAGTACTCGGTGGACAAGAAGAAGAAGTTCACTGGAGTGGGTTTTGGCAGTGAAGGTAACATTCGGGGTGCTGTCCTGGGGGAGGAGTTCCAAGACGCCCTGAAGCAACTGCAAGCTGAGTGGAAGCTGCGGGACATGGAGTCTAGAGAGAACTCTCTGCAGTTTGTGAGGAGTGAGCAACAACCTGAGTTGGATTTTTTATCCAATGAAGCCTCGGAAAAACCCTCAACCCCCTCATTGACAACTTTTTCAGAAACCGTTTTGATCGCACGATCTGAAATAGTTGAAGCTAAAATTGTAAATGACAACTTTCAACAATCCTCTCCAGCAGCTAGAGTTCAGTGTGAACTCTCACCGAAATCAATGAGAGTTGTGCAAAGTCCAGAGACGAGCGAGTCGAGCCAGACGTCCTCCTCTGAAACCTCAACACCGACACAGTATGAAGTGATTCATGTGAAAACGTTCATTGATAGTGAACGAAATCACAGTGCCACGATAAATAACAGAGAAATCACAAGCAAATATGATAAAGACACTGTCGGTAGCACCAGTGTTAACTTAGTTCCTAATAACTGTGTAGTAGAAACAAAAAATGAAAATTTAGCAGACAGTAGTGTTGATGTATCAATCGATAATGTCCAATTTAAGTGTTTAGTTAGCGAACAAAATTGTAAACCTGAACCCTCTGAGTGCTTAGTTGTAGATGAAGATTTGCTCAGTGGTTTTGCCAACCAAGATAAAACAGATGTGGAACTTTTAACAAATGAAAATGAAATTGAAAAAAATGTTCCTTTGACAGTGAATGATTTTTTACTACTAAGAGATGAAAGCTCTTGCACGTTTGTACCTGAAATTGTAGTTACGGAAGCAAGTATTTTGGATGTGGACAGCGAATCAGAGAACGAGATGGTTTTACCAAATGTAACACGTGTAAGAAGAAACATCAGATTGGTCATGACAAGCTCTGACTCTGAAAACGAAGACGACAACAAAGTTTTAGAAGATATAACAGTTTCTGATAAATCTGAGTTTACAACTACTGGTGTAGTAACAAGCACTCCATTTGTGAGGGAGCGAAGATGCATTTCAGTCGATGAAAGCGTTTCAGACGTTGATCCAACTTTTTCTGAGACAACAGAATCTTTTTTCGTCTCCAGTAAACCACCTCACAATCAAGAGTCCTCTGTTATTTTAGGGTCATGCGAAGATTTCACTCTTGATTACTTTAAAGGGCTGAAGACGACTTTTGGCAAGCAAACTAGCGATGAGTCCACTGATGAATTTTCAAAAAGTGAAGATGAAATGGACGATAAGCCCCTGAACAATTGGGACGAGTTTTTAGCCGAAACTCACCGCCAGAGGCTACAAAGCAACATTGAAGACGTTAATAATGATTTAGAACTCAACAACAAAAATAGAGAGGAAAACACTTTTGATTATGCTGATGAAATGGATATCCTTAATCCCAAGATAAAGTTTGACGATGGTTTCAATTCTGTGGAAAAAACTGTAATGATGTGTGATCAGATGGATATTTTTGAAAATCTGAATGGGAAACACAGCCAAGATCAACAAATGGAAGAAGTAAAAAATCGTTTGGAGGACGTCGCCAAACTGTCTGAAAGTGAGTAACTTAATAAAATATTTTGCTAATTAATTACGACATGTTAGGGTAACTTTGGTAGCAAGATTCTTAAGAGGTGGAATGATTTTACTTAAGTGATGGTTTTATCAAAGATTTGTACTTTTAAATGTCAAAAATATCAGAAGATTTCTTTCCAACATTTTTTGGCAAAAATTCTCTTTTATATTTTTTAAATTATGTTGATCCATTAGTCCTACAGGTAGATTTGTATTCAAGTTTTAGAAGAATTCTATCTAGCACTGTGTGTTTGAGGTAGATGTAAACAACAAAATATCAGCTAAAACAAAGCTCCACTTAGTCTAAGTAGACCACCATGATTCCATCTGTTGCAGGCTTCTGCTTTAAGAACCACAGTATGACCATGGAGGATGACGAGGACGGGAAGTTGTTGACTCCGGACGATGAGCGGAGCAGCGACTCCGGGTTCCGGGATAAGGGAAGTCTCAGTGAGAGTGTGGAGGACGGATGTGACGAGAAGTACAACCTGGAAGACATAGAGGCGGAGCTGGAGCAGGGAGAGGAGCAGACTACTGAGACTGAGGTAAATACACTGGGATGACTGGATTGTTGTGTTTATAATATTAGCTAAATGAGTATTCATTATGCATTGTAAACACCGTGGTTCAGACGTATGATTAGAATATGTTTCCCTGAAAGCGCTGTTAAGTAGGGTGGACTTTAAGAGCTACTTCTCATAGTTTGTGGACTAACAATGGTAATTATTTAATTGCATTCCTGTTGATAATTCTGTCAGGGACAGCTAAATATACACCGAGCTAATGTCCGGTATTTTATTGTCTTTTTGTGTCAGGATGGACTTTTCCTAATAATTATATGCTATTACAACAAACCTTAGACCCTTTTTCATATTACCAATATTTAAAGATTTTTAATGAAAAATATATACATGAACTGTTAAAATGAAGCATGGATCTAAATTTAAAATCTCATTCTTCCTTGAAGTTGAAATCACGTTAAAGTAATACTTTAGTTGTTGATTTTCTATAAATGCTATTGTGTTCATTTAAATGCGAGTGGGCTAATGGATGTTTTACTGGTTTTAGGTGGCAAGAGATCAGCAGGGAGATGTGGTAACCACCATCCAACTCTCAGAGGATGTGAAAAATGAGAGGCATGAGGAAAGACTGGACAAACTGGATATTGCTCTGGACTCAGATATTGACCGCTTTTTCCAAGCAAGTCAGACAAAAGGCTGGTACCTTCACCCTCCACCGGGCACAAGCTTGGACAACGATGGATGGCTGCCTACAGAGGCTGAAGAGAATGGAAGGAACTTGGACATCAACGAGGAATTTGTGACAGCAATCAGAAATGAGCTGAGAGAGAAGCTGCCTTGTGCACAGAACCCAGAGCGAGCAGAAACTGAAGAGGATGTGTCACCTGAGGAGGAACGTACGGATCTGGTGATTCAGTACAACACCTACCCTGCACCTCTCTCACCGATATTTGAGGAGAGAGAGAGTATTAGTTCCAACCAGTCGTCACTATTGTTGGATGAAACGGGGAAGAGTTTAGAATCTTCGGGAAAATCCAGTCCTGTTATATACTTGGATGTAAATAAAGTGGAAGACAGCTTGAGGTTTGAAGAAGACATCAAAAGTGCTCTTGATGTTTGTAGCTCTGAGAGCACAGAGAGTGACAACGTTCTGGTCACTGTGGAGGATCTGGAGGGTGGAGACAAGATACAAAAGGTAAAAGAAAACCCCAAGGAGGAGATAGATGATCTGTTAATTGTGGATACTGAGACAAATGACGTCATACTCTATGAAAGTCAGAGACCAAAATCACAATTAGCCTTTGTCAAACAGGTAATGGAGTCTGTGGCGAGCAGCCCAGCCAACTCAGAAACCTACACCTGTTACCACTCGGCAGACGATAACATGTTGTCAGTTGATAGGAATAACCTAACCTGTACACCGGACAGCTGCACTCTCTCACCGATGTCCACTGGTTCAAGTAGAACAGGAGCGGCTGTGTCGTTCTCATCATCAGAAACTGGAGGCAACTTGTCAGGCTTTTACCTCTCTCCGTCATCTGTAAGGTCAGACTTGTTTGACAGCGGCCCGCCAAGTTTACCATTTGATTTGGGGCTGATGGATAGGGAGGTTGTAGAACCTGTAGAGGAGATCAAGCCAAATAACGAAGCAGAAGAAATCGTTCAAGACTTGGTTGAAGCTGGAGTGCTTGTAGAAGAGAGTGAATCTAAATTGAGTGAAACAGTTGAATCTAGTGATTTGACCGAGACAGAAACAGAAGTAGATAGTGAAAAATCAAATGATGAAAATATTGAAAATGCACAAGAAACCGATCCCGACACTCTCCAAATTTGCAATACGCCAAAGAACGACTGTGACAGGATAGATAAACTGTTGAGCTCAGAGGTGCAAATCCAAGTGCCTGAAAGTGGGTTGGAGATTAATTCTACGCCGCAAGAATGGTTGAAATCAGTGTTGCTTTCAAATTCAGAGAAAGAAACCAAGAATGACAAATCTGTTAGTTTGAACCCCAATATGTGGCCAAACGCTGAGGAATTGTTGCCCATTGTAAAGTGTGAAGTCTCGGTCAACTCTCCAGAGTCTCCGAGTGTTGACTTGCTGGAGATTGCCGCAAAGTTCTACGATGTTAACTCTACCCTTGCAATATCCACTCCAAATAATGTGTCGTTTGATGAGAGCAAAGACAACTCCCAACTCTCTTCCTTCACCTCTACACCTACTGTTGAGAGTAAGATGTTCTTCACCAAACTCATGAAAGCCGAGACAGAGGTAAAGAGTGTCCCATCGTTGAGCAGTCTAGCCAACGAGATCATTCTCAGGTTTCCCACAGAAGAAAAGAACACCTCCGAAGATTCTCCTGATGACTCTTCAGACAGGGAGAAGATGCTGCAAGGAATGACGTTGGCGTTAGAATCATCTGTTATGTCCAAAGCTCCAATGCCTTCCCCTGAAGATGCTGATAAAGGTGTGTTTCTAAAGTATCTTTGAAGGGTTATTTAGGTTAAATGGAGGGTGAAGAAGATTTCAAAGAAAAATATTAATAATTAAATGAATTTAAATCTAAACTGTACTAAGAGTCCAAATGTTTTTATAAATTGTTAATTGTAACTGAATTTGGCTGAATCAAACTACAATTAACTGAATTAAGTTTTTGGCCTTGAATTGAGTACACACTTGTAATGAGGCTCGTTTGAAACACAATGAAAAGGCTTGGGTAGTTAAATTAATAAAAAAACCAAATCCATGCATATTTTCTATAGCTTTTTAAAATACTTGACATTAAATAAATATTTCTACCTTTCCCCAATTTGGATAACTTCTTCTTATGTGCTCAATGTTTTATTACTCACCATAAAGACTAGACTTAGCATCATCCACACTGAGTAAAATCTTAGTCTCACCAAAGTCACCTAAACTGACCATGTTTGTTGTTGAAGGCTCGTGGCGACCGACGATGAACCAGCTGATGGAGCTAACGAGCAGACCAGAAGCAGAGGATATGATGACAACATCGTTCATTGACGCTGATAACGACAACGACAACGACAACTACACTCCGGACTGGGAGAGCGACAGCTCTGACGACTCGGAGGACCACTCCAGCTCTAGCGGTGAATTTATCTGGCGGGTGAGTGAAGACTATGCTAATACTGTTTGAACTGTGGTGCAGCAAGTACTCATTAAACTTACCTATGTTTCAAAATAATTTTTACATTTTCAACCCCGACTTGAGGCCACATTTTTAAAAGAAAGCCAAGTGGCAGATTTCAAGTTTTTTTCTGAAAGGGGGGCTAGCTCACCTGAAAAAATGGGGCTAATAGTCTATGGTGCTATTTTATACAGTAAAACGTGTTATGCTTAGAGACCTTTTTGTAGGTAAGCTAGATGAGCTGAATCCCTTAAAATCACCTAACTTTTAGCTAATAAAAAATTAGCTTTCTCAAATGAGTCGTGTAGTAAAAAGAACTTTTCATTCAGTAAAATGTAAGGCATTTGGGCTTTGATATCATAATGATTAGTGGGAAATATTTTTTAAATAAATTTATGTAAGTAGTTCTGTGCCATCATACTATTTAAATTGCTTATTGTTAATCTTATTCCTTCCTTCAAAGAGTGTACTTATTTATGTGAGTAAAGGTTAAATAAATAAACATACACCACAATATAGTATTTTAAAATCATAGATCCACCAAATAGAACCATACCTGCTTTAAGTGGAAGTTCATTTTGTATTGTATTACATTGCTGTTGTAGTTGTAGTGTAAAAAAGGCTTGCTTTCTTGTTTTTATACTTTTGGCTTTTGTTGTTGAATATTCTTCCCATTCCTATCTTTATGTGTGCTCTTTTTATACTCTGTGTAGTAGGCCTATCCTTCTCCTGTCTTCTTGCTCTATGTAGTCTAATGCTTCTTCTTCTTCCTCTATGTAGGATGGTGACAAGGAAGAAGCGGTTAGAGTGGTCATAGCTTGTGATGACTTGGAGGTACGGACTGTTCTTTTCCTTCTCTCTCTTTATCCACCTCTTTTTTAAGTGTTCCTTTATTGCTTTATTGTCCATGATCAAAACCTCGTTTGTTTCTATTATTTTAGATTGCATGGTTATGGATCAATATTATATACCATATAACTCGGCTGAGGGAAAATTTTTTATGGTGTAATTTAAAAAAAAAATCCCTGAATGCGGATTTAAAAAAAATTGCATGCTTTTCATTAAACATACACAGAGTGTCAATAAAAACAATCTAATCCAAAACTGTTAAAAAGTTTAGCGCGTTAGCGGTGCCAATTTTAAATTTTCCTGTAGCATTTATGCAAATAGGCTAACATTAATTATTTTTTGTCATACTGCAGCAAACCAGCCTTTTTAAATGCACACATTGCGGGTCTAAAGTAGCATTTTTACTCTCTTGGCAGTAAAAAGCGTTTTAAGCCCCTCGGGAGTAAAAATTAGCTAGTCATGACAAACCTGTCCGCACGCGGTTCGTAGGCCTACAGCTTAAAAAAAAATTAAGTAGGGCCTATATTGAAGCGCTGTTGTATGCCTAACGGTCACGGAGAAAATTAAAAAAGTTTTAGTTTACTTGTTTATGGATATATGTTGATAAAATTTGGCAAATTTATTTATTTCATCTTATAATTGACGTATGGTCAAAAAAAATCTGTTTACCTTCCCCGTAGCAGCAAACCTAAGCACTCGTTAAATCTAATGTTTTGTAAATTGGGAATAAATATGTCTTATTTATAGAAATACTTTAGTAAAAATGTAATCAATCAGATAAGTTGAAATTCGCTTAATCCTTAATCTGCAGGTTTGCTGCGGCGGGGGTGTTTAAATTATAGTGACGATACTGATGATCCTACACTATTGATTAGGGACAAGTTGACTGGATGCAGTTTGCAATTACTGAAACTATTTGTTCATTTTGCAGCCACAAGAAGGTACGTCTGATCGTTCCATGGCAAGGATTTCAGAAGGGGAGGAGGAAGAAGAAGACGATGATGAAGATGATAGTTCAAGCTGCGGTAGTACGACAGAGTTCACCCCTTCAACTTGGGACAGGAACGCCACCCCGACAAAATCTGCACTGCGATCAGCTGAGAAAAAGAAGGTAAGATTTTTGTCATGACTTGTACGTGTAATAATAATGATAGTGGATCGTTGATGTCATCCAGGAGGTAGTTTAGGCAATACAGAGTGTGAAGTCACTCTTGATGTGAAGAATACATTCAACTCCGCCAGGTGGAGTGATATGCTGTGGGCGTTCGAACATACGTTCCAAGTTCCTCCCTACCTCTTGATGAGTCCTACCTCTTGTGTATTGCTTTTGACACCACCGAAGGTCATCGTCGGATCCCTACCCTTCTAGGGGATCAGTCCTAGGACCTGACCTTTGGAACGTGTCTAGAAATGCCCGACGAGACCCCTCTCATTGGCTACATGACGATGTCCTCTCTCTGGTTGAGACAAATGTCGTAGAGACAGAGCTAAAACTCAGAGTAGTGGTGCTCCGAGTCAACGAGTGGATGCCATGTTAGTTTATTCCTACTAGATAAAACAGGATTTTCTCATATGGTGAGTGGGATGTGTAGAGACTCTGGGTATGGACAATCTGTCTAATGGCTGTTGTGTCCAGGTGCTTGGTGCAAGACGCAACGTTAGCTTCAAGAGACAAAAGTACCACTGCGTGTACGAGTATCCCAGAGAGCCAGGCTCAGATGACGAGAGCTGCATACAGCGACCATGCTGGCAATCCCCCTCCACCTACGACTACTCTACATACACAGGTGACAGGACTATAACTTTAACTTACTCTATGTCTCGTTAGTTAATTTTTATAAATTTTCAAATCATAAATTCATAAACAGAGATGTATTTAAAAAAAAAAAAATCCGGGCTTGGTGTTCTCTTATACTTGTATAAATTAATGCATTGACATTGTCATTCTAGCCTATTACGCCCTTTTCCAATCTTTATTTTGTTTTGCAGTTGAATTTAAAAGATAAAATATATTTATGCAAAACAATAAAAGGAGACATTTGTGACTACACTTCTCTAGCCTAGTGAGTTGACCTTTGAATTTCTTTGAGCTAACTGACGTTATGTTTGGCAGACTGGGAGTACGGTGAGGGAGAAGTAGAGAGTGAAGAAGAGGAAGAAGAAGATGGTGTGGGACCTCGCCAAATTCCTGAGTCGGAGTACGACTTCTACAGACTCAGCAATCTGGACTTTGACATGATGACTCGTAAGTGACTTGTAATATTTGTGACTTTGTAGTGTTTTCCACAGGGAGAAACTTAATTTCCTGTAAAGCAATATCGGTAATGCAACAGTTACTACGGGTCAAACTGCCATACGAAAACATGATTGTGTTGAAATTCTGAGTGTGTCTCTCAAGGAGTAATAGCATTGACTTAAAAAGTTATTAGCTCAAACGTCATCACAAGAAACACAGTAGAGGATTTTTCAAAAGTCTTGATACTTGACTTCTTCGTTACAAACAACCTAACAAAATAATAATTGCAACATCAATACTATACATACACTTTACATACTTTCTCCAGCTTCTTTAAGTAGTAACATACAAAACACCTATTTTACTTATTTCCTGATGTATCAGCAGAGATGAACCTGGATGATGGTGAGTTCTTCATCAGCAGCTCAGCTCGTCCCTTCCAGATGGGTGACTCATGTCAGTTCTTCCCTGGCAGTCTGGGGTTCAACGACGACGACTTCCTAGTAGAGTTCCAGCCTTGTGCGGCCGATACAGATGCCCTGGTCATACCTCGGACTGGTCCTGCCTCTCTGGGTGAGTGTACAGACATTTAAGATTAGTTTATAGAGTTCTAGAGTTAATCGTACTTCTAGAGTTAATGAAATTAATTGGCATAGTCAAAATCCAAAGAATTTATTGTATTAGATAACATTTCATATTTTTCCCAAGTAACATGAATTATTTTTTCAGATGAAACAGTGAACACCGAGTTGCTGGAAGTAGATCCAAAAAGATCATCGGGAAAATTGAAACCTGAAGAGCTACAACTGACGGCTGAACTGTCTGGAGAATCAACTCCAGCAGAAGTGAGTCCAACACTAGGAGAACTGCGGCATACAAGGGAGAGACTAAAGCTGGACCTTGGTAGAACAGACTCAGCAGGTGAGGACAGTGGGGTGGGATCATCTGACAGACTGGACGAGGAGGAGTCATTAGACAAACTTCAGGCGAAGTCATCAGGAGATGTAAAGAGAATGAACGACAGGAAGGTGGAATCATCAGAAGTAGTCAACAGGGTAGAAGGCAGTAAGGTAGAACCATCTGGAAATGAGAAGAGGGTAGAGGTTACCAATGTATACCAATCTGGGAATGTGTATAAGTTAGAAGACAGTCAACTGAATGGGTTGGAAAGGTTTAAAGTAGTTAAAATAGAAACTCCTGTAAAATCTGTCAATCTTGAAGAGAAGAATGTGCAGAGTCAAGAAAATTGTAGAGTTGAACCCAGTTGGATGGAGTGTGTAGATAAAGCAATACAAATCAATGGTAGAATGGAGTCCTTAGAAAATACAGATACAAGAGAGGAAATTGAATCTTCAGCAAAGTCAAGTGCTGCTGACAGTTTAAAAGGAAATATTGATTTGGAATTTCAAGAAAAGTTTAAAGTCGTAGAAGGTTGTTTGGAGAGGAATCTAGCTGAAGGCAGCAAAGGAAGTTCTTTGCACGACCAAGATGAAGTTGAAACCAATGTTGAGCTGTTTGGTAAGCTAGACAGAGGAGCGACCGACCCGGGGGAAGACAGCGGAGTGGGCTCATCAGACAAACTAGATCAAGTTGAAGACAACCAACTGGGATCTTCTAAGAAACAGGATAAACTTGAGTCATTAGTATCTTCTTAAAGTCAGTCTTTAATTTCCTGTCGTCAAATCTGTTATAAACTAAACAATGCTCTACTCAATCCTTTTTTTGATGTCATGACTGAGAATATGGCAAACTCTGAGGAAAGTTATAGATTTGAAATTTTTGAACCATGTTGATAATTTGTGATAATTTAGATTAGATTTTACATCTACGCTTTAGTGAAATAGGCTCCTAATCAAAAACCGTATGCTTTGCATTTTATGATTCGGGCCAATGAAATGTCTATTATATTACAGGTAGGTTAATCGTACCAGACCTTTTTTGAAGACAGTCGGAGCTTTTTACTGCTTTTAAAATTATTTCTATCCGTCCAGTGATGCTGGTTTTTATACACATCTGAAGTAAAACACGGCGTTGATGGAAGAAAACAAAACACTAGTGTTTTGCGGGATACTTCTTGACATTGTCAACTAGTTGTCAGTAAGTTGACTATTGTTTTACATTGTACATATTATGTTATCGGCATTTGGTTTTTGTTGTGTAAATGTTTGTGTGATTTTGCTGTGTAATGTTTATACTTTTACCATTGTAGAGATATAATTTACTATTTATTTTTATAAGAGTTGCTTTCAAAATCAGTCATCCTGATTTTATTTGGAAATGCTCGCAATCGGTTTTTTTTATTACTGTTACAAACCTGAACAGTATTGTTGTATTTGAATATGTATATACTGCAAATATCTACTTATACCTACATATATACTTACCTGTAACATTTTATTGTATTGAGCAGTATTTTTTTTATCAACCCGCTTATCAAAGTATTATTGTTGTTTCTGTTTGTTGAATCATTTTTTTATTCACATTGGTGATATACCTCTACTTAAACCGATGCACTGCAGAACTTTGATTCCCGTCCATTCTCGGTCAATTTGCACTCCCCGTCGTCCAAACTTTTGACACCAATTTAAGTTTCCGTCTCAGCCTAGCATAACTTGGCCGTCAACAAAGATCTGAGCCTGCCTCATTAGGATGTACATAATGTTATTAGTATTTATGTATCGGTTTATGTTTTTCAATAATACAACATACCACGTTGAGTCTGTTTTTTTCTTTCACCCTTGAATCAGGAGGTATTTCATTTCTAGTAAGTTAGTAAGTATCTATCGAAAACCTTTGTTGGTTTTGCTGAAACTATTACGAATAATTGTATTACAAAGAATGCAATATATAATATCTCTTCGCAGAACCCCAATCCAATGCACCAAAGCACTGAAGTCATGCCTCAATGAATTAGACAGACGGACCAATCACTCGGAGAAAGCTTTTGGTTAGCTATAGTTAAGAAATTGCCAGCTCTGGTGTAACTCTTGAATGGAAACCAAGAGCACCATCCTATGGATCTTATTTGTTCTCTCTGCAACTGTAAACGTTAAGCTAAAGTACAGATTTAAAACAGTTTATAACTTTTTATAAAGAACGTTTTAGCAAGAAAGTACTGAGCTGAAGATTACAGATATTTCAGAAACAAGCTCAGTATTGAGATTTTTTTCTAGTTGGAAAATCGCAGCAAAAGAGAATGAATAGGCCTATCATCCAGTAAGAATTTAGCTTAGGAAGTGTGAATACCTTAATACTTTTCAATGAAATGGCGACCATACAAAGTAGGTATTTTAAGCCAAGTATGAAAGGAGATGAGTGGCACGATCTTGTAGTCTCGTTAGTGACTAAGGCCAACATATTCTTTAGACACAGCTGTTAATAGCCCATACAGCCAATGGCAGCTAAGGGACCCACAGTTTATAGTGGAATCTGAACCACATTTTTGCCTTGGTATTAACGAATTGGCCTAATTATTAGTACAGTCCTGCGGATAGTCATAGTACTCACTAGTGCGGACATTAATCCACACCAGGGAGTATCGTATCCACAGTGCATGCCTATAAATACAGTATCCACAATTCATGACCTAGCAGCTGTATTACAGGAGGTCGCCACCGTCCTACTAGTAGTATGGTCAAGACAAACGATCTATCCTTTAAATAAGTTTCGAAATTATCATAAAATTGGATTAAAAGATTTGGCTGACAAAAGTTTGTAATGACCTGATCATCACGTTTCTCATCTTGAATCCAAGAAGTTTAGAAACAAACTCGACTGAACATCTTAAAAGCTTTTAAAAGTTGTCAGGTTGAAGAGTGACCTACATTTCTTAAGTCATTGTTTACACAGTGAGCAAACTGATTGTAAAGTTTGTAAATCTAAGTGTTTAGCTGAGTAAATATCCCTGAGATTTCTACTTGTCACTTTTATTACTGGAACCTGGAACACACACACTGATAATTAAGTGTTGACAGTAAACTCCAAAACTAATTGTCGAGTATTAGATTGGACAAAAGATTTTGAATTGTAATATTGTGTTATTTCACTTTGCTTTTCTTTGATTTCAAATTCTTTCAATGGGAAATTTATACATCAAATCAGAGCTAGATAATTTAAAGAGATAAACTAGGACTTATAAGTACCAAAAATTTTCAATCGGCACGGGCTTTTACAAATGGGCCCAGGGGCGCAAAAGGTTTGTTAGGGGCAAGGAAGAGAGAAACTCCCTCATAATGTAGGTGGAAAGGGGCACAATTATTATCTCTCTGGACCATAGCACATCACATGCTGTTAATAGGAATCTATATCTATAAAATAGGAACTATGTATGTATGTGTGTATATATGTATATACGTTATGTATATACTCCAAAACCACTCGACAGATTGTAATAAAACTTTCAGGCATTATTAAGCATCTTTCAAGGATGGTTTGAGTGATGTTTGGTGCTGATCCGTCAAAAGGGCTCTGCCCCAGAGGGTTTTAAGTGGGCCAATGTCAGACTTTTTGAACTACAATGTTTACAAATAAATATAATTTAAAAGCAGATGTTTACTTTCACCAACTGTTTTGTAGGTTTGAATAATCACAACATTCTGTATTAGCATTAGTCATGTTTTGAAATAGTGCCACAGTGTTTCTACAGCACAGAAAACTATTTTACTTTTGAATAAGTCCAAATGTATTAAATCCTAATCGCAGCACACCTGTGCACTTAACAACGTTTAAATTCTCCAATGTTAAATATTAAATCATAAAAACCTTTATCAAAGTATTATAAAAAATAAAAGGGATGAATTTTTTAAATTTATGACAACAGCTAATTTGCAACCAAAAAGTGAGTGAGCGTAGCGAACAAACATCAACCTGGAGGCGAGTAAGCGTAGCGAACGAGTTAACCTGAAAACAAGTGAGCGCAGCGAACGATTTCCAACCTGAAGAAGGTGAGTGAGTGTAGGGAACGAACTTCAACCAGGACGTGATTGAGCCATGCGAATACTTATGAAGTTAAGCGGGGCAAAGCCCGCGAGTACAGCTAGTATTGAATATTTGAAATGTGGACTAAACAATCTCATAACCCAAAGTAAATACAATTATGACAAGAAAACTGCAATGAAGAAGTTTCAAGATCACGTTTTTAGCAACTATTGCTGTAGAATACAATGACTTGTGTCTAGAGTAATCAAGTCAACAATAAAACCACTTGAAAGCAACAATATCATACTGCAGAGTAAAAGCAAGCAACAACAGCTCTATTCACTTTTATGGACCAACTAAAAGTTCTTTCTCTGTTGCAATTTGTTATATGGTTTAAGCTTGATTATAGCAATTTTGCGATGTAAAGCAGTCTGTTAACAAAAATATAGAGGTTTGTATAGGGACTTTATGTGTGTAAATTTAATATTTTTACAAAAGTGTAAATTTGTTAGTCTTTAAATGTTGTTATTAAAACTTTCAACAAAAATAAACTAAGTCATGAGAATGGTGTAAGGTAATTTAAACTTACAATAATAACACACTCCAACTTCTGTTAGAGAGGTGTTTTATGACACACAAGAGTCAAGTTTTTATGCTATTTTCAACTTAAAGCTCATTAAATGTGCTTAGAGTCTTGTGTAAGTTCTTATTCTTTTATGGGCGTCAATAATACTTAATACTTTTCATTGAAATGGCGACCATACAAAGTAGGTATTTTTAAGCCAAGTATGAATGGAGATGGATCTTGTAATCATAACAAAGACTTTGTAGGTGAATAAGGCCAACATATTCCTTAGACACAGTTGTTAATTTAATAAGCCCATATAGCTCAATAGCCCAATCCGGGTAAGATGGCGGTGGATGAGGATGTCGATCTGTGCGGACAGTGTAATAAAGAAGTTAAAAATAGTGATATGGCTCTAAATTGTGACGGGTTCTGTAACAAATGGTTCCATGGACGATGTGTTAACGTTGAAAGCACGAAATATAAGACGATCAAGAAAATAGAAGATACAGTGATGTGGTTCTGTGATCCCTGCACCACCAGGCTCTCGGAGCTGAAGAAGTCTTGGACCGACTGTGATGAGTACTTAGACATACAGAAAATGTTAGGTAAAATGTTTATTTTACTGCAAAAATCTCTGCCATCAGGCCCTTCTAAATTATCGACTCAACAAACTTGCATAGAAACTGATAAATCTAATTCTAATTCCAACCTAACCTCTTCTCAAGATTCCCTGAAACGTGTTTCTAGACAGGATGTGACGTATGATATGACAGACGACGTGTCGTCGGACAACCTAAATCAAATTGACAACCACGCCCAGGCGGATAACTCAGGACAAAATGATGGTTTGGGTGCTGGGCTTCATAGCAACTACGAAACCCTGACAAGTCACAACATGGCTTCCTCTGTCCCAAAACATTCGGAGGGAAACCAGGAAGAAATAAATAATATGGTTACGCTTGGAAACTCAATTGGTGCTGAAAATGCAAGCAGCACTGAATGGAAAGAAGTAAGAGGAAATAAAAATAATAACAAGAGCTACGCAAATGTAACTGCAGTTGGTACAAACAGGTCTACAGCAGACGAAACAAAGAAGAGCAAAGATCCAGCACTTATGCAGACGAGTGAGAAGCAGAAGAAGTTTCAACCAGAACGAACACAAGTAGGAATGGCTAGGGGAACAGCGACTCGCCATCTTGAACAGAAAGTTAGACAGTCACAGTTTAATAAAAACACCCGGAAAGTTGTAATTGGTTCGGGTAAACACAGTGATTTTATATCAGGGACGAAGAAAGCCTGGTTTCACCTAGGCAAAGTTAAAAGTGGAACATCAGTTGATGCAGTTAAACAATTTTTGATTGAAAACTTCCCCAACGTTGGTTGTGAAGTGGAGAAGCTCGAAACGAAAGGGATCAGTGATAGTTTCAAGATAGGAGTAGACTTTGCCGCTAAGGAAGAATTTCTCAACAGTTCAGTTTGGCCAAAAAATGTCACGATCAAACGTTTTTTATTCAGAATAGCCTCGGGGAAAACAGTGTCAGAGAGTCAAGGGAGACTAGGCCTAGGCCTAAACCAAGTCAAGGTAATCTCCAACTAAAACCAAAGTCTAGTGACCTTACAAATGTAAATAAATCTAATGTAAATAAAATAGCCTTTCTAAATGTACAATGTCTAAGGACTAAATTTAATTTGATGCCAGTCTTCTGCTCTGAGTCATATCTTAACATCCTATGTATAAGTGAGCATTGGTTGGCGGAAGAGGAAATTGATTTCTACTCTAAATTCGAAAACTTTCAGCTAGTGGCATGCTACTGCAGAAGATTACGTCTAGGTGGAGGTGTGGCTATCTTTGCAAAGGAAGACCTAGCAATAAAACCCCTTGATTTGGAAAGTTATTGTGTCGATCTAGACCTCGAAGTGACTGGCATTGAACTATTAGAAACATCAATAATAATTCTGAGCATATATCGATCTCCAAATGGCCACATTGGCAATTTCTTTGAAGGGCTGGACACCTGTCTCTCCGACTTTTCAAGTTTGAATAAAACAATAATACTGGGAGGAGATTTTAACATCGCCCTAAATTGTGACGAAGCCCACACAAGAACCTTCGCAAACATACTACGAGCACACGGCCTATTTATTACCAGCGTAGCACCGACAAGGGGAGATCGATGTCTGGACACGATTGCAACGAACTTGGACCTGTGGGACTACGAGGTTGAGGTGACT